GAGGGTGGGTGGGGGGATAGCTGATGCAGTTGTTCCCAACCTTTTTTAGATTGCGGACCAAAAGTGACCGCGGATCGGCAAACTGCGGACCAGCATACTGCAGACCAGAAGCGACCAGCAGCCAACCCTTTTCTATGCTGAGTATAAAAAAGGGTTGGCTGCTGGTCTGCAGTATGCCAGTCACTTCCGGTCCAGCAGCCAACCTTTGGGCTGCAGCCTGTGGGTTGGGAACCTCTCAGCTAGTGGATTAAAACATTGCCTCCATGAACCTTTAACTTGGAGATACAGCTGCCACTTGGAGCAGTATAAACTTCTACTCCAGGGCTAGTTGGCTGCTTGGTCCAAGCAGCTCCTGTTGAACTTTTGCAGCATATAAAAGCCTACCGTGGGAGCAAGCCCTCCATCTTTTGATGGTTGGTCAAGTCAGTACTGCAACTAAGTCTTTGTGGGTTGTAAAGATCTCCCAGAAGGAATCTGGCCCACTAGTGATCTTTTTCTGGTGCTTATTTAAGTGGGCAGCGGTATTTCCATTATCTTCCCAATTAACTGTCCTCTGTGGGTGTCTGCAGAAGCTTCTCGGGCATGCTCTTGTGTTCTGGAACTCTGCTCTCCTCTCTTGTAGATTCCTCCTTACGGACAGCAGGGCCCCAGCGCGTATGGGCAGCAGAGCCAGACTCCGTATTACAACCAGCAAGGTCCTCATTCCCAACAGCAGCAGCCTCCGTATTCTCAGCAGCCCCCATCCCAGACCCCTCACACCCAGCCTTCTTATCAGCAGCAACAGCAGCCTCAGTCTCAGCCTCCGCAGCTTCAGTCATCCCAGCCTGCGTACTCCCAGCAGCAGTCCCAGCCACAGCATCAACAGTCCCCATCTCCGTATCCTCAGCAGCCATCCACAGCCCAGCAGCATCAACCAAGTCAGCCCCCCTACACCCAGCAGCAGTCACAGTCACCCTACCAGCAGCAGCAGACTCCACAGACAGCATCCTCAGCTCTCTCTCAGCAGTCCTCTTCATACCCTCAGTCACAACCGCAGCAGCAGCAGCAGCAGTCTGCATACTCCCAGCAACGATTCCCACCTCCTCAGGTAGGCCTTCTCCCACGGTGTGTCTGCTCCTATAGGGTTTGCATAAATTGGTTTTCTCAGTATTCAAAACCACTGAAATGCTCTGTAAACATGCAAACTGAATTGTTTGAACTACTAAATGTACAACCTTCCTCCCTGGGACTAGTTCCGTGTCTCCCAGCTGTGACGGAGAAACAAGCGGGGCCATGTAGAGAGAGTCTTCAAGATCACAAACGCAGTACGTTGGCACTGCCAATCTAAAAGGCTCCTGATTTGAATGGCTTTCAAACTGGGGGCTGCGGAGCGTCTCCACGTGGTACACAGACCTACTGTGCTTATCACCATGGCAGAGCATTTCAAGGAATTATACTTCCTGCTGCTCTGGAAGCCCAGACCAAGATTTGTGTAAGATTTTTCTCAAAGCTTTTTATAATCATGTAAAGGAAACATTTGAGTAGCTGCTTTGCTGCTTGGGTGCGGTTTCCCCCTGTAAACTAACAAAATTGTAAAGCAAACAAAAGGCAGAATAGCCTGCAAAATGACCTAGAGAAAAACGCATGGGAATGGGCTAGGTTAGGTGTTCAGTGTGAAGCCCTGCCCTGCACTTAAAAGCAAAGAAACGGCACCAGTTAAAATCAGACAGCAAGGTGTGCTGCATACAGGTGAATTTATTTTCATTTGATCTTGCTAACAGTAGGATGTTTCTGTATGCAGTTGGCTAGAAACGTTCCTACAGATAACAAATTTCACGTTTCTGTTGTGAACTTAATTACATGAGTAAATGATGCAGGTTAAAAAACAAAAAGCCCTGCAACTGCCACAGGAAAGCTGTGACATCAGGAAGTTTAAGAGTTTATGTAACAGGAGTGTAGTACGAAAGTGTTAGAGAAATACTATTTTATGCTTCATCTTCTAGTAGTTAATCATCTTTGGTCTAGGCAGTTAGCTTGGCTTAGTTGTCCATTGCTAGCCTTGTCCCCTGGGTGGTGTGGGCTGGTGGTAACTTGGTTTCTCTTCCCCATTTTGGACAAATGTACTTGAGTGGTACACAAACCTTTCTTCTTATGAATTCATAACAGAGCCCATGTCTCACTTCTGTGCTGTGTTACCTTGTGTGTTTCAGGAGTTATCTCAAGACTCATTTGGGTCACAGGCATCATCTGCCCCTTCAATGGCTTCCAGTAAAGGACAAGAAGATATGAACTTGAATCTTCAGTCCAGACCCTCCAGCCTGCCGGTGAGTGGTGAGCTTGTCTGTGAATGAATGAACAAGCAGAGGTGCAGTAGGATACATTAGCACTGGTGGTACTGCAGGTGGAAGCTGGGATGCTGGAGACTCCTAAGCCATGTAGCTTTCCGCCAGAGACTGTGTAACTTAAATAACTAGCAGATCTCATGGTATCCCTTGAATACTGTGGCATAGATGTTCCAGCTTGGGGAAAGGCACTAAATTGCACTCACAGCAGCCTCTGACCTTGTGGGGTCTTTTGTATTCCAGTTCTGCTCATCGCTAGACTTCTTGGTTAAAAATCTAGTGTCTTTTCTTTGTCAGTGGATCATTGCATTGCTGATTGTGCTCCTTTAGTACAACTGGACTGAATAGTTGGCAAAAAATACTTTTGTTTAGGTCACGGAGTTAAGATGATCCATTGTAGGTGGTCCCTTCCACTGCAAGCAGGGGAGGACTGTATCATCTGCACCCCATATCTGCTTGCTAAGTTTGCCTTAAGCACTCGGGCACTTGCATAGTTTGTAAATGTGTCTGACTAACATTCAGTCCCCTGGCTCATACTGAGCAAAAGGAGTTCTACCTCGGGTTTAAATGTTCTGGACCAGTGAGGAGACTTGAAAATCACCCCTTCAAAATCCTGGATGACCTGCCCAAACAGAGCCATGTCAGTGGCTCAGAATGAAAGTTTGGTTTGTTGAAATCTGTTTTGTTAGTGATTTGGTTACTCCAAATCAGTGAGAGGTAGAAGTGATGTTTTTTCCTCCCCTTGAGCATGAGGCTGAAGCTTCTTCACAAGTGGCAGCTGGCTTGGTCAAAGGAGGATGAGCTGTGTACATACCAGACATTATTTTTGCTTTCTTCAATAGAAAATCCAGTTTGTAGGTCTGTGGGTATGCCCTTCAAACTAAGATTTTGAATTGCAGGGGCAAATTATGTTACACAAATACTGAAATGACTCTAAGTTTGATAGCTCAATGGGGTATGTTTTTTGGCATATTTTTCCTTTTATCATCTGGTTGGTTCCATTTGGCCCCTGAGTGGCTACAAGGAAGTTGTTCTGAGGTGTAGGGAAGAATCTTTTTCCATAGCATGTTTCTTTCGACTCTACAGATCCTTCCATGTCACCCATCTTCTGGCTTAGAACACAGGGAAAGTGAAAGGCATGAAAGCAATTCAGGAAACTGCCCTGACGCTGAACTGGAGGGAGTCATGTTTAGTAGACTAATGCTAGAAGGATTCATGAAGACAGTGGGCTCCTTTTGATTCGGATCATAGGAATTGGTGGCTTCTCCTGCGCACAGCCAAGTGGAAGTGTGCTTATATGCTATAGTGAAACATGGTTTCTCTACGAACCCTTTTTTCAAGTTCACCTTCAAATGGCTGAAAGAGGATTTCCATTTGTGGTATGGGGGTGGGGTGGTTTGGGAAGGTGCGAGCTGCATCTTGTTAGAGGCCTGAATTTTAAGGCATCAATTAACTTCTGACATGCACTGCAGCACCCAGGGCCTGGTTTGGTTCAGGTCTTGCATCTGTGGCCGCTTTCTACAGTTGTCAGCCTTCCATTTCAGCCAAACCTGTTTGCAACCTTTTGTCTTTCTGAGTTTACCAGTAAATCCTCTGAAGCACAAGAGAATCAGTTGGTCCTTACCCTCCCAGAGCCAGGTGCACCCCAGGATGCACTGGTTTCCAGGTGTATGCTAGAATTCACCATCTTCTTTAATGCAAAGGGGATTGGTAATTATAGCTTCAAGATCTGCACTCCTTGCCTAGTCCTTTAAAATGGGAAATGCATCAGACAGTGACTCAAACAACCATATCCTGGACCAGTAATGCGGGAGGGCTTTGCAAGTGTGTGTTGGCCAGCCCTCTTGCCATGACTTTTTTTGCAGGGGTTCTTGACTGAGAGGGCTGGAGGCAGATCCCCCATAGAAGCTAAGCATTATATTTTTCTTCTCTGTTCACCTCAAAATTGGTCCGTGCGAAATCCTAAGTCCCTACTATTAGTCAAATAAACTTTCCCAAGTTGCATATAAATGCCTTTTATAAAAGTACAGTTGTGGGGCTCTTTGCATGTTTGAAAACCTCTGGGCTCCTTCCTAAGGGCTTGGAAGATCTTGCAGAGTAGCCAGTTACTGCGTTCTTTGGAAACTGGGCGATCTAGGAGATGCAGCATCTTAACTTGCTGCATCTAGGTTGACCCTGACTAAAACATACCTTGCTGTCTTCTGGTTACCTCTGTTCAGGAAGATTAAATACATTTATTAAATCTTAACGAAGTCTGAAAGCTGTCGTAACGTATGGCTCAAGTATAATCATTGAAATGTTGGGCAACAAACGGGGGAGCGTTTCCTTAGCAGGTCTTCCCTCTTTTTAGGAAGTGTCTGTTTCCTCGAGACTAACCACAAACCTGGCAGTACCAACAGGAAAGCTCATGCAGCCTGACATTTCTTGCCTGCCTTGTCGAGCTCTATCTGAGAGGTGGCCAGTTCCCCTGGAGGGGTGGTGCCTCTCTGGGTTTCTGCTCAATAGTAAATTGGAGAACCAGCCCTTGTGCCATTTTTTTGGGTTGTCTCATTTGAATCCGAAAGACAGGAATATTGCAAGGGGCTGAAATTCATCAGTGATTTACCTAGTGCCTTGATTGCAACAGTGCCTTGTCTCCTACGTTTTGCCCACATGTCCCTGGGTTTTAATAGTTTTATGTTGTCTTTCCGTTTCAGAACAATGGTCAAGCAGCGTAGGTTTATATGGCACAAGGCAGCAATATGCTGAGACATGCGCTGGCCTGCATGCTCTGCTTCAGTGTCCTGTGTCTAGCTCAGCATTGTTGTGTCCCTTATAAACGAACCCAAAGAGTGCGAGTACATACACTGCAGCTGCTAACGACCGTGGGGCTTTTCAGGATCCAGGATGGTGCCTGCCAAGGCCTGTTGTTGTCTGGACGGAGAACTTTTCTGCGGAGCTTCTAACAGCGCAACCCAATGAAACTTAGATTGCTCACACACAGGAGAGGAGAGGATAGTCATGGCATCTGGATGTAATGGATGGAATAATCTTGAGTATAAATCTCTTCTTTCCAGGAGATAAGTCTCTGAAATTTAGCAAGAGCTTCTCCTAGGCAAGAAGCCTCCAATTTTATTTGGCCTTTAATTTCCTGAGGACCTCAACCCCTGGAGAATGAATCTGAAGATGGTGTCTTTGGCTGGTACTTAACAGCTAGTGTTTGGTTTTTAATCAGGATGTGCTAGTTTTCTGCAAAGTTTTTGGGTGTAGTCAGAGGGCTCTTTCTTTGCATCCTTTCTTTTGTCCCCTTCCTCTTGCTACAACTTGAGCTATAAATATTCTGACTAGGACTTGCTGGAGGAGGGAGGGGGGAATGGAAGTTATCTTTCAACGGGTACTAATTTTCTCTTGAGTGAAAGATCTTACTCCCATGGAGAGTATATTGCACAACTCTTCCAAGTCTGGTCTCAGTTCTTTCTGCCAAAGCATACTTCCACAGTGAGCTTGTCAGCTTCTTAAGGGGTTCGGATACCTGACGCAGGGAAGTGTAGAGTGCCTGGCAGGTGTTTCATTTATCCCTTCCCTTGATTTCTCCTCCTTCTTCCCACATAGTAAGTACCTCGATGGCTGGTTTCCTACACTGAGCTTAGTGTCCCACCTGTGTCCAAGGGGAGTCTAGAAGAGGCATTGTTTGCCACTCTTCAGGAACATTTCTTCAGAAGCTCCTGAATTTCTTAAGGGATGGCTTTCTTTGTCTTCTCCAGGGTTCTTGATGTTCTCTGGTGTTCTTTTGTTGAGACCCAAAGTCTCAGAAGTTGGTTTTCTTACTTAGAAGTATTTCATAGTTTCATAGTTTCTAGGGTCGGAAGGGACCTGAGCAGATCATCTAGTCCAACCCCCTGCCATGGCAGGAAGAGCACTGGGGTCAAATGACCCCAGTAAGGTGGTCATCCAACCTCCTCTTAAAAACCCCCAGGGTGGGAGCCTGCACCACCTCACATGGAAGCTGGTTCCAGACCCTAGCCGCCCTGACTGTGAAGTAGCGCCTCCTGATGTCCAACTTAAACCTTCCCTCCGCCAGCTTGTGACCATTGTTCCTGGTCACTCCTTGCGGCGCTCGGGGGAACAGGGACTCCCCCAGCGCCTGCTGATCCCCCCCAAACAGTTTATAACAGGCCACAAGATCCCCCCTCAGCCTTCTCTTTTGAAGGCTGAACAGGTTCAGGTCCCGCAACCTTTCCTCATAGGACCTACCCTGCTGTCCCTTGATCATACGAGTGGCCCTCCTCTGGACCCTCTCGATGCTGTCCACATCCCTCTTAAAGTGCGGCGCCCAGAACTGGATGCAGTACTCCAGCTGCGGCCTGACCAGTGCCGCATAGAGGGGGAGGATCACCTCCTTGGACCTGCTCGAGATGCATCTGTGGATGCACGACAAGGTGCAGTTGGCCTTCCTAGCCGCCTCCCCACATTGCCGACTCATGTTCATCTTGGAGTCAATAATGACTCCCAGATCCTTTTCCACCTCCGTGCTGACAAGAGGGGAGTTCCCCAGCCTGTATGTATGGTGCCGATTGTTCCTCCCCAGGTGCATCACCTTACACTTGTCCGTGTTAAACCCCATCCTGTTCTCCTCCCCCCACCCTTGTAACCTATCTAGGTCCAACTGTAGCCTGTTGCTCCCCTCAATTGTGCCCAAATTGTGCTGATTTGATTTTAATCAGTTCTTTTAACACCTTAAGGGGTTGTGTGCTTATTTTGTAGCAGTGGAAAATAAGAGGCATTGCTTAGACAGAGTTATTAGCATGAAAAAAGATCTCGAAACTGAAGGGTCCAATGTTTGAAGGAGCGGAGATGTTGGTGGCCCACCAAGGAGCTTGCATATTGATGCTAGGTAAAAGGAGAATGACAGTGGGATGGAGAGCAAGGTTCTCGGCTGGTGTTGCATCGCTGGAGCTGTGCTGGTTTGTACTAGCTAAAGGTCTACCCTACCATCCTCAGCA